ATAATCAGAAGAAGAAACAAACGGCATAACCTCATCCATAAACGGACAAATAACAGATAACTGTCGATTAGAAAACCCTTGAATTTTCAGGGATTAATACTGTGTTATTTCCGTGTGGGCGTAATTGATTTAAGGGCCAGGATCATAAAAACCGTGCGGGATCGAAACCGAAATAATTTTACGGGACTGGGACCGGAACCGGGACCGAAATAACCTTACGGGACTGGGACCGGGACGGGACCGGATTTTATAGTGTCTGTGTCACAGACACTATAAAATAATGCAAAAAAAGAGAGAACTGTTGATAATGTTACATTCGGATTTGGATATGTGGGATACAGAAAAAGAAAAAGAAGACTTACACGCTAGAATTCTAGTCTATGACTGCACGATATATACTAGACATCTAGCGTATATCGCATCTTCTTCTTTTATTTCATCTTATTGATCTATTTAGTCATCGATATAGCAAAAAGTCATTGTTCTAAACGGTTGTCCACGTGTATCGATGACTAAATAGATCAATAAGATGAAATAAAAGAAGATGCGATATACGCTAGATGTCTAGTATATATAAAAACGAAAAGGAACAGCCGTCGTTCTTCTATATAAACACAAGGATGTGAGAAAGATTGATTCTCATTCTTTTTCATTTCACAATTGTTGGTAGAAGCCTAGTAAAAGAAAATCAAGACTGAGGGTAGGAGTATTTTTTATTACTGAGATTTCTTTTATAATTGTTCTTTGAGCGTGGAATAACGCACACTCCAGTTGCTGAACTGTCTTCGTCTTTCCGCACGCACACAGACCTATTGTTAAAAACGAGTTTTTGTATAAATCAGCTTTTAAAGCAGAAAAATTTGCGCGAAGCCTACTGTATATTTATACCTCTCGGTGTATTGTATATACCCGAAAAACAGAAAAAGAGCATTGCTAATGGATGAAAATTTTGTTTTTGAAGCTCTATTTATTGTAGAAAACACAAAAAAATATATATAAAAAATCAGAAAACACACACAAAAAAATACTGGGACAGTTGTCACGGTTTTCTGACGAGAAACACCATTGCATCTAGAATGAAGAAAAGAGCTGTTATTCCCACATGTCTCGCCAACAGCAGCGCTAAATACTTACAAAGCATCCCCGGCATCCAAAATGCCATTGACAGTGCCGCACAGAGAGCGACCTCAGCACCACTACCACCGGCCATATAAACCGCCAAAGGCGGGAATAACAAGGCGAGCACTACAATCTTCAGCGCTTCACTCCATCGTGTCTATATTAAGAAAAGAAACATTGCTCATCACTCCCCATAGCAACTAAGTGTATTCCTACCCGCCGTCGGTGTGTTTCTCGCCACGGCAACGGGTGCTGTAAGCCACCTAACGGCTGCTCCGGTACCAACGAAGCCACTGGAATCGGGGCCCAATACACAGCCTAGACAAATGAGATGGGTCGATATGATTATTCGTCGTTTTATAGTTAGATGAGCTAGCACAGTACATATGCTTCCTATTTTTAAGCTTTACTTACATTTTTCTGTCTGACCACACACATATCTATCAGAAAACTTCAACTTACATAATGAACAGTTCAGCGAGAAATGACTCTATTGAACTTGAACTTTCTTCATCGTTCTCTTTTTCTCTTTCTCTCTGCCTTTATCGATACGAAATTTCTTCTTTCTGTAACACAGTTACAGTTCATATAGAAGAAAAAATGATGGTAAATGACACGAAATACAATCACAGTCATTTCTCTGTATTACAGTCCGAGCGTCATAAACCAATCAATATTTTGTAGTCACTAATTAGACTTTACAAAATACTGAGTGATTTATGACTAAACGAGAAGAAAATGACTGTAACGTATTACCTCGTTCAGTGCGTAAAATATTAAAAAAATTGATTTCAAGATTTCGATGTATATACTACATCATCAAGAAAATGACATGAATAAAAAAATAAACAGTATAAAGGGTGTTCTAGAAGTTCTGAAGTAATTTTAGAATGATTTATTTTAAAATTACTTCAGAACTTCTAGAACACCCTTTATTGTTGGTATGTTCAAGTGATGACATTGCGCTTTGTTTATTTTCTCTTTTATTTTTCTCTAGTCGCATTGACACTGCGTGCATATAGATACTGTCATTAAAAGTCGACTGAGTAACACGAAAGGAGAAAAGGTCTATCATAAGTAATAAATGATTAGAAATGGCGGATGGCCGAAGGTCTTTTGTGAGAAAAAAACACGAAATTCTTTTCCAAAAAGAGAAAACTGATATCTTTTGTTTTCAAGAAAGATTGTATCACAAACGATATTATTTTTTTCTCTTTTTTGAAAACAAAACCTACCACTGTTCTCTTGAATTCATAAGGTATCGCTTTCCTTTTTTTGGCAAACACTACTGAGAATTAACAAAATCTGTGCTGCCGATCTTTATCGAATGTTGACGTTTTGTGTTCAATAGGCTGTCTTTTAAACTTTATTTTAGAACCATTTTGTCCTTTTTTATAGTTTTATTGAGATGTATATCAAACAAGTACGCTATAAATCCTTTCCATTTTTTTCCCCTCTTATCTCGAATACTCAATCATATTTTCAGGTAATTATTCAAAGGTTTCGGTCGTATCGTGATGAAACAATCTTTGAACCGTTCAGTTCTCGCTATAATATCATTGGTAAGAGAATTAAAACCCTAGTTCATTCATATCATAACATTGTATTCGCTCTATTCATTTTAGTGGAACGAAATGGATGTGCAAAAATCAAATTTTTTCTTTGGTAAAATAACTTTTTATAGTCAGTGGTCTAGCTGATAAACCACTTTATGGTACATCTAAAACATTTAATGGTAAAAACTTTATTTCACCACGTATTGTTTCTCGATTGAATTCACGTACAAGTTTCGTTGCTATCACATCACTATCAACAATATGGTAAGATAATCTAAATTTGTAAAACGAAAAAACAAGTGTAATAGAAATGAAAATGGGCAAATCATTTTCTTCTCATCATAAACTTTTGTTCCAGCCGCTTCTTGCAACAACTGTAAACGTTGAGCATCGGGTGCTATTGCCATTGGAGTTATCTTAAAAAAAAGAGATTCTTTTTTATCCTGAAACTCAAGTATCTACATGACATCAAATAAGTCAAGTTTATTTCTCAGAAAATTCAAGTGCTTATTATAAGTGGAGTTATGAATTTATGACCAGAGGTAATGTTTTTTGTCAAAAGTGAAGAGACGCTCATTTTCACAAGATGACTTGACAAGCCCGAAAAATAAACTCAAAACGCGTAATTAAAGAAAACTCTTAACAGTTCGATGCTTTTCTTTCGTTTTCGTCTGCTTGTGAAGAAAGGATTTGCTATTTGTTACTAGCAGCGTCAAGTGTTATAATTAATTCGTTTTAATTAGGTATTACAGATTAGTATTTTATATAAGTTTCATATAAGATTCACAACAGATGTCTTTTCATATGAGTAACGGAGATTGAACAGTATTCTGAACTCCATAAGAAGATAATATCTTTTCCATTTCTATCTGCTGTGACATATACTAGTCGATCTTTGCTCTACGCAGATAACAGTTTTAGTGACATGTATCGAGATAAGTATGTAAAACGAGGAAAAGAAAGAATTCTATATCAGTCAGAGCGCCAAGCCTAAAATGCATAATAGAATAACGTTGTCCTCAATTCAAAATCTTAAATTTTGCCCACATTATGTCTGAAAGAATGTATCTCAGTCAGAGAACTTATCCCTAAAATATTTTCTTAATCAAGCGCTTCCTTCTTTAGTAGGTCGTCTATGCATGTGACGATTGGCTAAAAAAATGAGCCTGTTGATAACGCAATAAAGTCATAGGAATCAACCATATTGAATATCGTTTCCATGTACTACTCTCCTGTATACGACATTTTTGCATAGATGACCTACTAAAGAAGGAAGCGCTTGATTAAGAAAATATTTTAGGGATAAGTTCTCTGATTGAGATACAGTCTTTCAGACATAATGTGGGCAAAATTTAAGATTTTGAATTGAGGACAACGTTATTCTATTATGCATTTTAGGCTTGGCGCTCCGACTGGGTGTGGGAAATTCGCAACTTACAGAAAATGATTTTTGTTGTCTTCGGTATAGTTGAATAAAACTACTCGAGTTATCTACTTAAAGCTGATTTTGATACGTCTAGAAGTCATTGTGAAAAACTTTTGATCGTTTGAAAATAGTCCAAAATGAAGAAAATATTCGTATTACTTCTTCCGAAAGTTCACAAGTAGTTTTTTCTGGCTCCCCTCGGAAGTTTAATAAGCTAACTCTGGCTGGCATCTAAGAAACAAATATGTCTTCAAAATATCCCCAAAGCGAGCAAGCCAGACAAGCTAGCAGACGGCGAGATACGCGTCAACACTAAACATTCTAATCAACATCAACGAACAAGTCACTGCCAACCCTTTCGGCAATTCTTCCTTCATTCCGGACTGCAGAAAGATTTACTCCGAAAAGAACTTCCAAACAATCAATAAACAAATCGCTAACTCGAAAACACAAGATACCAAAAACAAATGACGAAAAGTATGAGTGACACAACATTACCAAAACCTCAGTACACCATAAGCGAATCTGCACCGCACCAACAGTATATGGCTTCCGACACTCTAGAAAGAACAACCACACTGGTTCTACGAAACACTACACACCCACCTACTACCAGGTGTCGCTCCAAAGCAACCACCTGCACCACAACAATCTCACCACCGATGCACAGTGGCATCAAAATCCAATACCCAGCAACACACATACCCTCCTGTCCGTCAAACACACACAATCACCAACTTCAACCAAACCCAAACCCTGATTGGACCAGATTACGAAAAAAACAGAAGTTCCCATGGGTAAAACATGAACATAAAAAAACCACAAAACAAACGGCATAATAACGCATAACCAACAGTCCGTCATTGCAGATCGCCACGAAGTGGGTGCCAGCAGATAAAATGTGTAAATGATAGAAAACTAAAAAGGTCCATATTTTTAAAACTACATTTATCTCAAAAATGAAGAGCGAGGAGCAGTAAGATTAAATAGTGAAATGAAGTAGAGAACTGCTGAGAAGATCATTCAAATCACAGATTTATTTTCACAATATTTCGACAGTCACTGCTGCCATTTTCAAGTGAAAAGAGATAGAACTGTATATTGGCTTTCAGTAGCCACGTATATATGTAAGTAAAAATAGAGAGAGAGAAAAAACAAAAACATTTCAATTTAGTTTCTTTTGATATCAAAACACTTCCAGGTTATATTTTACTTCATTGATGGCTTTCCCATTAGTTTGATTAGTTAGTATACTCTCTTTGATAACTCTTCTTTTCCACATTGATTCCAAAGAAAGTGTCTCTACATTATCGAAATCCATTTTATGAT